ACGCTCTGGGGCTCAGGCCGCGGCGAGGCGCACCCCCTCCGTGACTCTCCCCGCGCCCGTCCCGTTCCTGGAGACCTGGCCGGGGAAACCGAGGCCCGGAGCCTGGGCTGGTGGATGTAGCGGAGAAGTGCATGCCGCCCGGGGGGTGTGGGAGGTGACGCAGGTGCACGGGGTGGAGGGGAGGGGCCGGAAACCTTAATCAAGGTGATCAGCTCGGGCGGCCGGTTTTGCGCAGACCTGGCTGCTTCGCTGTGAATCGCTGGGGCGTAACTGTCTTCATTGACACAGTAGGGATGGTCCTGCCCGCACAGAGCACGGAGTGAAAGGCTTTATGCAAAGGACAGTGGGCTACGGGTGCTGCATAAAACCGAAATTAACGTGCTTATCCTCTCCTCTGCTTCTGCGTCAATAAACGTACATAGGAACAGTAAAGAAAACGTGACTGAGTGTCGTCGGGTAGTTGAAATTGTTGCTCTATAATTTCCACACCCTGTTATTTTTTTGTAAATACTTCTGAACCATTTGTTTTTCGCTTGAACCTGTTGCTGCGTGTCGTTTCTTTGATTTCATAGAGTTTCAGACAGAGAATTATGCTTAGCCATACATTTCTTTAGAAAGTGGTAGATGCCAGATTTGGGACTTTTTTTTATTTTGTAAACATTTAGTAACTAACTAAATGTTTGTTGAAAATATCCTTCAAACTTTTTCTTCCTGTTTTGAAACACAAATACGTTTAGTACTGATTTTCCCCCTTGAATGAGACCAGTCAGATGTTTCCTTTCGTGCCCGCAGTCATTTAGGCTAAAGACCTGGCAGTTGATTTTCATTTATTATCCCCATCTACGCGATACACATCCACAGAGACAGGAGCAGAACTTTAGGTCTAGAATGAATCTTAGTGAGCATGTTACGGTCTGAACGGTTTAAACTTGAGGTGCAAGGATGCCTTAAGTACTTTGTCTAGCATTTGAGGTGCATCAGAATCACCCGGAGTACATTGTAAAAAATGTAGATCACTGGGCCTACACCTAGTAATCAATTTTGATAATGAATCAAAAGCTCCTGGGATGGAAGAGAAGGTGGAATACCTCTAAGAAACTTGATTTCAGATTCGCATCACTTCACACCTAGTTGTCTCTCTACCCCCAGTCTTACCTGCTCCCCGGTCCTGTTTACCTCTGCCCAATTAACCCGTCATCAAACCAGGGCCTCCATGTCACCCGCTCCAAATAAAAACTCCCAAAAGGGTCTCAGTTCCCACCCAAAAAATGCCCGGCTCCTCAGACTGGCAAAGTCCCATTCAAGCAGCTTTTGCATGCCAACTGCCATATCTTAATTCAGGTTGTCATTTCCACCTCTGAACTTGACACCATAGTTACTACCAAAATCTAGGGTGTTTTTCTTAATTCATGGATATCTGATGAATCTTCCTAATGCCATCTCTGTTCATGTTCATTGCTACTCAGGAATTTTCCACGTCTATCCATAGAAATGCTTTTCAAATTGCGCCGCACAAAGAACGCCAGCAGCTGGAGGTTGGGAGCAAGTGGGGAGAATTAGAGTCTGAGCCTCCCAGCTCCCCAGATGTTTGAAAATCTTTGGCCCACAAAATTCCTAACCTCTTCCAGTGGTTCTCAACCTTCCTAATGCCGCGACCCTTTAATACAGTTCCTCATGTTGTGGTGACCCCCAACCATAAAATTATTTTCATTGCTACTTCATAACTGTAATTTTGCTACTGTTATGAATCGTCATGTAGATATCTGATATGCAGGATGTATTTTCATTGTTACAAATTGAACATAATTAAAGCATCGTGATTAATCACAAAAACAATATTAATTATATATGTGTTTTCCGATGGTCTTAGGCGACCCTGTGAAAGGGTCATTCGACCCCCAAAGGGGTTGTAACCCACAGGTTGGCAACCCACAAGTTGAGAACTGCGGATATATGTGTTTTCCGAGGTCTTAGGCGCCCCCTGTGAAAGGGTCGTTCGACCCCCAAAGAGGTCTCGACCCACAGGTTGAGAACCGCAAATATCCAGTGTGGACCCTTTACCAAATTCCTCGGTCTCAGCTGTTGACCCTTTAGCCAGATCAGATCGCGTCTGCCTTTGCTTTACATCCACGTCAGTGGGTTGCAATCCCAGCTGTCTCTGTTTTTCCATCTCCCCCTTCTGTAGGCTTGGTCCTCAGTCATGCTGCTCCTCTGTATGATTTCCCTGGATAATCACAACCCTCCCCGTAGTGTGGTGACTACCAATGGCATCTTTATCTTATTCGGGAAGGAGTGGAGATAGTGCCTCTGCCTACCATAGAGTTGTATTTTCAGCTCTCCCCTGGATATCTTGAAACTGAACCCATTATGTTTTTTATTGACCGAATTGACTTTTTAAAGACTTTTGTGTTCGCAGATTTTTATTCTTGTTGTGGCTTGTGTTGGTGGGGCGAGTTCATTCAAATTAAACTTTTGTTAAACATCTAATTAGAGAAGCAAGAGTTTTTGTCAGATTTATTCAGTTATCCTTCAGGTGCTGAGCCCTTTGTATGTGTCTTAAATCAGTTTTCTTTTGTGTTTCTACTGCTGATTTCCTATTTGGGGCAAGAGATGGGGAGTGCAATAATTTTTAAATTGTTCTCTCCACCTCCAATTTCCCTTCTAATCTAACCACATTTCTACAAAAGTGATCTTAAAACACAGATCTGATCATGTTTCTCACCTGATTAAAAACTTTCAACAGCTCCCAATAGTCTGCATGATAAAGGCCAAATGCCAGTGTTATATATCAAAGCAGATCACTTTGACTTGCTCCAAAATTTTTTAAAGTCAACATCTTAATATTCATTTAATAGGCAAAATAGACATATCCACTTTAACCTGAGATAAAGCCTAGAAATGGAGTACAGATTTTAAAAGCTGATAGCTAACTATTTTTTTATTTGTTTTGTTTCATTTCATCAAAATGATGACCCTGGGGTAAAAAAGTGTCAAAAAAGTTGCATCAAAATGGCTATAGGGAAATAGCTGTGGCAAAATTCATGTATATTTGCATTTAAGGCCCTCCCATGGCTTTAACACCTGGGCCTATTTTCCAAACAAAATTATAAGTGCAACACTGATTAAATCCACTTTTGTGTATTTTATGAATGTAATTTTTAAAGTAAATATATGTAATATTATAAATCAATTAATGGAATAATGAGGCTGTTTTGATGAACCTGCTGCTTTGAATTGGGGTGTAGATGATAACTGAAGATTTATACCAAACTTAGCAAACAGTTTCTTTGCATATTTACCAGAAGTTCTCTTAATAAATGTACTGCTAGCCAGTTCTGAGCATTTATCAACCCATGTGCTTTAGAGTGCATTTAGGCTACTCCCTGATGCATTCACATAATTCTGAGTTTTACCTTACCAGCATCAGTTGTCTTTATTTCTAGTCCTCTTTATACCAACTGTACTTGTAACTATTATAATTTAACTATTATGTAAACTAATAATATATGAGTATGAAAAGAAAATTGTTTATGAAAACTTGAAAGCTTGGGAAACTCAATAAAGATAAGTTGTTAAAAACAAAATCTGTACACTTAGATAAAAATAAAAAAAGATTGGTGATATTTATAAAAGAGGTAAGGATTCTGCCCTCAGATTGCTCTATCTTAAGGATGTTAAAACTAAAAAGCATAGGTGATGCATCATAGTGTGTTTATGCCAGAAAAATGTGGGATGTCAATCAGTGAGCCAATTTAACAACAATAACAAAAAGCTTTGGCTTTATAAAAGATTAGTAAGTAAATGTAAGTTACATGTTTTAAGCTAAGTCATTTTCTTCTGATTTCTTACATTAGCCAATTTTCAGCTACCAGTTTGGATTACTTTGAATAGGAGGGCTTCTACTGTATTATTGGTACCATTAATATTATTTCTTTTTCCTTTTTGGGGGGTAGGAGGAGAGTTAAAAAAAATTTTTTTTTTCACTCCTGAAAAATAGATACAAATGATTACAGGGTATTTTTTATTTTTTGCTTTTTTTTTAACTGCTTCTCGTTCAGTCTCATGGCATTCTTCAGTTAAGCAGAGCTTGCTAGAGAAACTGTCCTCTGAGGTTACCCCTCCCCCAAACACACACAAAAAAGAAAAACGACAACCTGGAAACACAAGTTCATGCATTGGTAGTTTCCTTGCTGTACAGTAGAAAACAACTTGTTATTTTTATTACTATTTTTAAAAGGTTGAAAACACATTTAAAACTAAAGTTCGAATCTCATGTTTGTGACACTAGAGAGACCACAGAGTTCTTCAGAGCACATTTGGAAAACACACTTGGGAAGTATTCTCTGCGTTCTTTCTGATTTCATCTCCTTCCATTGTCCCCCCATACCCCCCCCCCCCTTTACATTGCTTTCTTTTCTAACATATGGCTTCCTAACCCAGGTCCATAAAGAGTCTACAGCTTTGGAATGTACTCGTGACACTCCTGACACTGCATTAACATGTTTGTGAATTTTTCTAAGCATCATGAAAATAAGCAATATTTCCATGTCATATCTAGCTCAGTTCAAAGGTTTATATTGGTTAAACTTCATTTATTCACATTGCAAAATCTTTCATACTGCCCTTCTAATCCAGCTTCTTCTCTTAACAGTCCACATATTATCAGGATGGAATAGTAAGAATAAATGTACAAACATGATTTTCATTCTAATTTAAAGGTACAAGTCTTGAGCAGTTTTCATAGATCCTGTCGTTGATCAATTATTGTCAGCATTTAAAAACTCCAGGATGCTTGGTGTGAAAGGTTTGCTGCTTATGATGTCCTTCTCAACATCAGTACAGGCCACATAGCAAATATAGTGAAGGTCAAGGATTCTAGCTCTGTACCCCAGAGACAAAACATATTTAAGAAAGAAAAAGAAAAGAGAAATGCAGAATCATAGCAAAATGCTGTAAATGATGATAAAAGCACAATCTAGAAGAACTAAAGGAAGAACAACGTGGGCCTAGACAAGTTTGAAATATCTGTTGACTGCAGACTTCTGCCTTTTCAATTGGGCTTTAAATTTGAAACTTTTCTAAGAGTTCTTTATTTCCCTGAGGGCAGTCATAGAAGGTATTGATTGATCAAATAATTAACCACTATATTAGTTCTTTTATCATTTATTTAAGTATAGAGAGAGAGCCTTTAAAAGGCCAACCAGAAATTATTATGTTCAATAATAACACAGTAATAATTTTAAAAGTGTATAGCACTTGAGAGTGTGCAGAGTATGGCAAGTATTATCTTTGATTTACAGATGATGATGCTCAGATTAAATAACTTGCCTGAAAACATGAATGCGCTTATTTTAAATGAATACAATTGTGTACTATAAAGGACAGTCTAGAATAAAATAGGGTTATTTGGTTCACCTATAGAGGTGGCAAATTCCAAAATGTTTATTTTCAGTCTTATTTTTATTGTCTCATTCACCTGTGAAATATGTCCCTATCAATGCTTCGTAATTTCATTACATATATTAATTTTAACCTGGTAAAAGGGAAGGCAAATGCATTTTGAGAAAGTATTACTCTGTAGATTTTTAAACTTGCATCAGTTAAAAACCACTGCTTTAAACCTAACCAATTTGGCTGTGTGTTTTTTCTTTCTTTTGTACCAGCTTCAAGTCACATTGGTTCTTTCAACTTTATTGACAAAGAAATTATTTTTTCATAAAGTCCAATTTGGTGGTTTCCTCCTTTGCCAGTTATATCACTACCACTTTGTTGAAGGAACTTTGCTTAGTGGGAGATAGTAATATATACTCTTCTTTAGGTGTAGTTCATTTCAGTGTTTTGAATTCTGGGTTTTAGATAGAGCTGGCCTTCCTCTAGCTGCTGTCCATGCATACAGAGGTGTAGCCTCAGGCAAGGCTTTGAGTTCAGACATATCTCAGTTCTAATCTTATTTCTGCCACTTATTAGTTGTAGGATCCTGGGTATGCTATTTACATCCTTCAAGATTTAGTTTCCCCATCTGTAAAATGGAAATAGTTTTCTATGTGTCAGAGTTGTTTACAGATTAAGTGGGATAATGTATATAAAGCATCCATGTGGTGATGGCGCAAAAGAGCCTCCATGCCAGACCCAGAGGACCTGCTCTTATGTCTGCCTCCTGTTCTGGAGCCTAGACCTGCAGTGTGCCAGTATCTTATGGTTCTTTGGAGATTGAACGCCCTCAGTGGCAACACACATAACACACACATTTAAAAAACTTGACCACTTCCATTTAAAACATTTTCTTCAATTTTTCTGGAATGAATTTCGACTAAGTGCCAAGTACTATGCTAGGCTCTGGGGATTCCACTAAAGTAAAGTTGGTTTTTATTCTCAAGAAGGATAGTCTAGAGGAGTCTATAGACACGTAATAGGAATTAAATTGCAGTGATTGATGTGCTATGTTGGACTTAATCCAGGCATTTGGGGTGGTGGAGGGTGGGGAGAAAGATGGGGGCACTCAGAGAAGGCTTGATTTGAGTGGTCATTATATTATTTCACTGATGTATTGTGACCTTACGTTAAACTAAAAAAAGTCTAACAATATTCAGTAACCCGAGCCCAGGATAAAGAGAAATTAGCAGCCCATTCATTCACTTGCTTAGCTAATGCTTATTGGCCTTTTATGCTTGACACAGTACTACAGGAACATCACAATAGAGAAAAACTAGTTTCTACACTCTGGGGCTTATGTGCTCTATCTGAGGAGGTTTGTACCTTCAGAATAAGTACTTACCAAATAAGGCAGTCTATGCTGCAATGGCAGCATGTGTGAAATGTGTAAGCCCACCTGTGTCTGTGTGTCTCAGGCGTTGACTGTGGGCCTTTCTGTCATCTGGTCTTGCCTCTTAGCCTCAAAGCTTAAGCACACTTGATTTGGAGAGGTATGAGGACTGGTGGAGGCAATGGTGAGGAACACAATGTACGGGCCTGGTATGCCTGGTACAGAAGAGAAACAGTTTGAGTTAGGAGTCCAGAATTGAAATGTGTCCCAATAATCTCGATTTATACACGTTTTAGCCTATTTGTATATACTTTACATATAATCATTCTCATGGACACACAACTCTTCTGATACTCTTGCTGACTATTTAAAAAAAAATATATGGCTCTCTACCTTGTGAGAATGCCACCTTGTTTCCAAGTAGTATGTATGTAGGTATGTGTTCCTCACTTTATTCCACAAAGCTTTGAGAGCCCACAGTGAGACTCTATGCAGTAAGTTTAATATGTAAATAGCAATAACAAATTGGTATATGGTCAGCTTCAGACAAAACCTCTGTTGGTACAGAGTTTTCAGGTAAGATTATATTTCAGTTAAAATTAGAAAAGAAGACATTAAACTAAAAAAAAACCAAAAAGCTTATAACTAGCTTATTTCTATCTCAAACCAGCATTCTATCTTTGAGAGAGGAACAAAAGGTAACGTTTGGTTCACTAACGTAGAAATGTTCCCTCTGTGACATTTATGGGTCTAGTTTTGTGCTTATCCTCAAAATAGCATTAATGACAATAACTTTGTTCAAGGCTTATATGTCCCAGGTTCTGTTTAAAGCACTTTTAATCATCAAAATTAATTTGATGATCACCTGTGAGAGAGGTATTATTTTACTGATGAGGAAACTGAGGCTCAAAGACGTTAAGCAACTTGCTACGATTACACAACCAACCAAACACTTATTAACCAGCTACGAGGTGACAAGTAAGGCTTCAACCCAACCAGACTGGCTCCCAAACCTATGCTGTTTCCCCAACTCCCTCAGATGTGTGTTTAGATATGAATAAGGAGGAGATGTCTTCACAAAATGGGTGTTTGTACTTTAATTTTCAAAGAGGTTATCTTCAGATACCAACGAAAATGAAGCAAAGTCAAGTGAAGAACCACTCCTAAGAAAGAGTTCACGCCGATTTGTCATCTTTCCAATCCAGTACCCCGATATTTGGAAAATGTATAAACAGGCACAGGCATCCTTCTGGACAGCAGAAGAGGTAAGTGGCATCGCCTTTCGTCAATAATCATGTCCTGTGTTGCAGTGTTCACATCTTCTGTTACAAGATATCGAAAAATGGACATTGTACCAGTATGATGGATGATACCTGCAGAGCATTCTTGCTCTCTGGGTATATGTGTATATTAATCTCTATATATCTCTACCTCTACAATATATTTCTCTATATATATCTGTTTGGATAGATATATTTGGGCCTATATGTCTGTCTGTTTTTTCATGAGAGTGATTCTGTACATGTAAATGCATGCTGTAACGAATGCAGGCTCGAGAGCAGACAAATCCTGGATCTACCATTTGCTGTGGAACTGGCGAAGTTGCTTAACCTCTCTGTGTATCTTCGTCATTGTTATACTGAGCTAATAGTACCTGGTTTTGGGGGCTGTTATGAGGATTGATCAGAGAAATCTTATTAATGAGATTAATGCCATATTTAGAATGTTACTTGGCACCTAGTAAGCACCAAATAACTGTAAACCATTATTTTACACAAAATGGGGGGAGAGTTGCACAGAAATCAGAAGCACCGATTTTTGAAGCTTCTGTTATGAATTTTACCCACCTACTCAAACTTGTTATATTGTTAACATCTTTGTTATATTTAACATATAGAACAAAACAAGACCCCAGCATTTTTAAATTGGGTCGTAGTGCTTGGCACACCTGACTGTCACCAACTGTTTGTGGTTTTTAGAAAGTTTTTTTTGTTAGATATAGTTAAGAGAACAAAGGGAGGATACAGGTGGCTTTTTCATTCATCGTGTTTAGAAGGTACTTGTGACTCTTGAGTTTCTTGAAATTCATTTGAAAATTATATGCATTTTTAAGCAAATGTAATATATGTTGTATTATGACTAAGAAACACTAATTTGAAAAATTATGCAGGGTAGAGCAAAAAGTTTACAGTTCTGAGTTTATTCTTGGATTATTATTTATTAATTAGTGCATTATTTTCCATATGAACAACTGTAAAACTAGTTTTGCCCCACCCTGTAATATGCAGGTTGTATATATTTAATAGGCAGCTTATAGGAAGATTCAAACACATATTTTGAAAGGGAGTCTAATTCATTTAGTTCCACATATTTTTCATTTAAACAATTATATGAGTTATAATTTAATTAACTTTAGACTTTATTGTTTTATCAGTGGTTTAGCTTTATTCCTAAACTAGAGGCCTGTTGCACGAAGAGATTCGTGCAATAGGCCTTCCTTTCTCCTGGCTGCTGGCACCGGTTTTCCTCCGGCACCTGGCACCCAGGCTTTCGCTGTGGCCGGGCTCCAGCCGGAGCCGGCCCTGGGGCCGCCAGCACAGCGAAGCCTCACAGCCCCGGGGCTGTCAGGCTTAGCTCCACCACTTGGAGCCTATGTATGCAAATTAACCGCCATCTTTGTTAGGTTAATTTGCATACTCTCCTGATTGGCTGGCTGGCGTAGCGAAGGTACGGTCAATTTACATGTTTGTCTATTATTAGGTAAGATATGGCTTATTATCAGAAACCTTGATTCAAAAAACAAAGTTCTGGGATTCTTTTTTTAAAGCTATCCACAGAATTCTGATAACTAGTAATTTGGAATCAATATTTAGATGGTAAATTGAAGACTTTACTGAAATAAGATAAAGCTGGCCAGGGGGTTTACACTGGGAATGGAAAATGACCAATGTAATATAAATAAAATTTATAGGACCTTTTGAAAGCTGAGTGTTTGAAGAGATACGTTTGATAAGTCAGAGTGAGCATATTGTAATATTAACATTTAATATCAGGAGTATAATAGTTAAAAACCAGGAACTTCAATTAAACCTCAGTTGAACTAAAATAATATAGGACCTGATTTTTAGCTTGTATATTTTAAAAGATATTTGCAAATATTTTCCCCTTCCTGCCCCATTGTATCCCAATGCTTAGCACAGTGTCTGGCATTTGTAGTGTTAGATAGGACAAGGGTTTCACGGTCTGGGCATTTAGTTCTGACTAAATGCTATTCTTGCTAAATGTAAAATGTAGCACAGTATTTTGCAGATGCAGCTGTAAAGAGGATGAGCTTGACAGGAACCCAACACTAAGTGTAGTCAACTGAAAAGAAGAAACCAATGTGGAATTAGCCAAATAGTGTAGATAACCAATGGCTAAGCCTCCCTTTCGCAAGCCAATGCTTTGAATATGAATCCCGTCTCCTTTACTTGCTACAAGTAAATAAAAATAACTAATGAAAGCCACTTCTCATTCTTGACTAGAACACCCCAAGCGTCAAATCCTTTAAGTTCAGGAATAGTAAATAGGTGCTCAGTAATCACTGAAAGAATAAAGTAATGAGGAAAGGATTTTAGAAAAGAAAACAAATGATTCAAAGGGTGAAACAGTCCTTTTTAAAATGGTAGAAGAGATTAGGGTTTTGTAGAATAAATAAAAGAAGGACAAAGGACAATTACATGTCTCAAATGTTTATGAGGTGACTGTGAAACATACTTAAGAGATCTTCCCGAGCTGAAGTGATATCTACAGGGTACATTTAAAGACTGTTTTTGAATTGTAGATTCCACCAAACTCTAGAGTACATCTCGCTATTAATTCCAAGGACTAGTTCTAATAAACATGTTCGAAACATTTCTATTCTCAGAGGAAGTCATACTTATAAATTGCTTTAAAACCCAGGTTTGTGACCTGCCTGGCATTACTTCTAGATATGAAAGTAGATTAGCCTGCATTAAAGTAGCAGCTGTAACTGCCTAATTATCTGTCTATATATAAATGCCTAATTATCTAACACTATTGTGTTATGTAAGTTGTTATGTATTATATAAAATGTTAAAGCAACAGCTGCTGGAAGTCATTAGTTTATTCACCTCAGTTCTTTCTTGACCAGATTCTATTCTCTCCTGCCTTTTGCCCCTTTCTTCATTTGTTCCAGTGCCACTAAATTATGTTTTTCCCCCTAGCTTTATTGATATACTTGATATGTAACATTTTTGTAAGTTGGAGGCTGTCTTCGTGCTGTGTCTTAACATGGTGGAAAGGGCAGTGGAGCTCTCTGGGCCTCTTTCATAAGGACACTAATCCCATCCATGCGGGCTTCACTCTCATGGCCTAATCACCCCAAAGGCTCCACCTCCAAACACCATCACTTTGGACATTTCAACATAGATATTTGTGGATGATGGTGAAAACAAACATTCAGTCTGTAGCGTGATGTTAATATTTTTTTCCTTCTTAAAAATTTTCCCGCTAATGAGATGTCCCTCCTTAACTTTGAGGTGGAAGTTATTTTTCCAAATATTTTGAGAATTTAACTTCAAGTGAAAATGTTGAAATCTTTTTATTTTAGGTTGACTTATCGAAGGATCTCCCACACTGGCACAAGCTTAAATCAGATGAGAAGTATTTTATCTCCCACATCTTAGCCTTTTTTGCAGCCAGTGATGGAATAGTGAATGAAAATTTGGTAAGATTTTTGTTTTATTTTACTTTTGTTTCCATTTAGCAGTTGAATGAAGATAATGGCAGTAAGATAATTAGACTGAACCTAAACATTTTTCTCTAGGAGATGAACTTGATGGAGCTTATTTCTTGAATTTGTTTTTCTGACAAAGTGTCAGAGGAAAGAATACATTTCTATTATTTGACCAGCACCATGTCATTATACCAAGCATCTTGTACCAATTTAAAATGCATAAGCATGAGTTTGATTTCTACCCTTAGATGTGAAGCCTAATAAAGAACCTGCACCTTAATAACCCTTCTGGAGCTCTGTAATAGAGCTCTAGGTTCTGGCTCCCCGTTTTTAAACTTGTATTATGGTTGGCCAGGAGGCATGCCTTCTTGTTAAAGAGAATAGAGATATATGAACTTTTATCATTAACTGAAAGGGGCTTAAGTAGATCTACTATCTGCTGTTGGAAAAAAAAGACTTAAGGTCAGTTATACAAAGTGAAATAATTATTTTTTGGTAGATGTTCTACAGTTTATTTGTCATTATAGTCAGTTTCTCTACCTAACAGATCAATTCACTTAATTGCTTAAGAATTCATTATGCAGCTACTTTACTGTGGAGGGTTGATAAATAGTACTGCTTAAAATACTCCATAAGATCTTTCTGACCTGCTAGTGGCATGACAGGCAATTTTTAAGTGATAATTCTGATGTCCAGATTCTGATTTGCAGTGTTCAATGAGAGCCCACAGAATTGGATATATATGTTTCCCTTATTTTCATAGGTGGAGCGATTTAGTCAGGAGGTGCAGGTTCCAGAAGCTCGCTGTTTCTATGGCTTTCAAATTCTCATCGAGAATGTTCACTCAGAGATGTACAGTTTGCTAATAGACACTTACATCAGAGAGCCCAAGAAAAGGTATCACCACTGGGGTTTTATTTACAAAGTTTTATCATATTGCTTGGTTATGTTAAGAGCAGAATTTACTCTAAAAGAAATGTTAGGGAAATTTTCAAATACGGAAGTATATATAGGAGTGTAAAGTTTTCTATTGCCCAATAATGTGTTCGCTTAAAAAAAAAAAGGAACCTGTATAGAACTTGTTAATCTGTGGAGCACATTCTGTATAGCAATTGAATATCGTAATTATTTGGTCTTGTATCAGACCAGATCCAAACCACTAATTTGAATTTTACTTTAACTTCTATATTTTATGGATATGCAGAAATACAGAAAAATTACAAATATGGTAGTAGACCATAGAGTTGCGATTATTATATCTAATTAGCCAATGAACATTTATTTTGATTAAGAAAAACACGTTAATAACTTTGCCATTAATTATTTTGTTTTTACAGGGAATTTTTATTTAATGCAATTGAAACAATGCCATATGTTAAGAAAAAAGCAGATTGGGCCTTGCGGTGGATAGCAGATAGAAAATCTACTTTTGGTTTGTAGCTTTAATTTATATATATCAAACTTGCCTTGAGCGTTAAAATACTATTTTACCTGGTGTAACTGTCTCAAGTCTCAATGTGCACCTTTATTTGAATCATTCTTTCTAATTCATTAGAAACCAGGATTAAAATAATCTAAAACTGCCCTGCTCAGTTGTTGGAGCATTGTCCTGGACACCAAAAGGTGGTGGGTTTGATTCTCAGGGCACATACCCAGGTTGTGGGTTCATCCCCGAGTGGGGCAAGATCGATGTTTCTCTCTCTTTCCCTTTCTCTCTCTAAAATCAATAAAGTTATTTTAAAAAATTAAAATAATTGAAAACTATCTATTCTGTTTAATAAATTGAAAGTTGAAAGGCTAAGATGTCAGTGTATAATAACAAGTAAATACGTCAGTCACATAGAATCTGGCAAGAGTCTTAAAGCAATCCACAATTTATATCTGCTTTCAGGAATGTTTATTTTTTAAATTTAAGGTGAGTCAAAGTCTTACATTCTTCAGGAAACAAATATATAGTTTCTGAAAAACTAAAGATTAGTGCACTCAACTAGAGCAAGGAACCATTTGCAGGAACAGGCTTATTTTTTACTCTTCTGGATGAGTTGAAATTCTATAACTCTTTAAAGGAAGGGTTTAACATTGTATCTTATATGTAGTAGTTGCTCAGTACATCTTTTTAAAATTAATTAAACTATTCAGATAATTCATTTGAATAGCTCTAAGTATCTGCCTTATTCTTATCTATTTTATAATTTGTGTTCTTTACTTTCTGGATTGAATTAAAATGTGGGGAAGCAGATCTCAAGATTTTTTATTTCAGGACTCATTTGCACACTTAAAAAATTTTTGAGGACTCCAGAGTGCTTTTATTTGTGTGGGCTATTGATATTTCCATATTAGAAATTAAAACTAATAAACTTTAAACATATTTATTAATGCATTTTTAAATGAAAATAACCTGTTAGATTTTAACATATTTATGAAAAAACTATATTTTCCAGAAAAGAATTAGTGAGAATGGCATACTTTTTAATTTTTGCAAATCTTTTTAATGCCTGACTAAATAGAAGACAGCTGAATTATATCTGCTTCTGTATTTGCATGATGTTGTTTTAGTTGAAGTGTGCAAAAAAAATCCACCCTCATTCAGATAAGTAGTTAGAAAAGGGGAGAGTATTTTACTAGGCTTTTCAGATTATTATGGTAATGCCATGTAGCATCTGCAAAACACTATATACTCATGAGAGAATGGTAGTAAAAAATATAAAGTAGTGCCTTAGTATTTTTAAGAAAATAGTTTTGACCCCACAGACCTCCTTGGTCTGTGAATTTCCAGCGATCCCTGGAGCACACATTGACAGTCAGTGATGTAATGTAAGGTATGACAAGCTTACAGTATATTAGGGAAGAAACAGATACATTTGTGTTGCCTTCAGTTCATTTTAAGAATGAGAAAAGCAGTGATTCTAAATGTGCAAAAAAATCACTGGAGAATTTGTGGAAAAGCCCTGCAGAATCCTGGTCTTCACCCGAGTGATGTAAGAGGCCCAGGTAGGACTGAGGAATCTGTATTTTATACATAGTTGATTTCCTACAAGTGGTTTGAAAGGCACATTTTGAGAAACAATGGCTTTAGAGATTAATAAAAGGGAAATTCCAAGGTGTTCAAGATGCAATGAAAATATTAGGATGGATAATTACTGATGGAAAATTGAGAACAGGCAAAAAAAAAAAAAAATGAGGAACAGGCGCCAAGAAAGCATGTATTTCATGACACTGCCAAAGAAAGCAACCTAGAAATACAGAAAATTAGAGGAGGGTGCAGTCACCATGCAGCACCAGAGGCTCCATTTAAATTCTCCCTATTGCTTACTCTCAAGGCAAACTCCATTTAGGGTTCTGAGTCGGCCTCGGGGAAAAGAACATGGTCTCAAATGGTGTAGGAGAGTGGAATGGGTGGTGGGAAGGGAAAAAGTGAAGAACACATTGGTGGCCCTCTTTGGGAGAGGAGCTAAAAGACACGAAAACATTGTCTCGCTTCACCAAACACCTGTACTTCCTGTTAACTGGCTGGGGAAGTGCAGTTTTATGAACTAATTGTGCCACCTGCACCGTTAGTGCCTTTAGCTTGATGAAGTTGGCTTAGGGCTTTGCTGGTATTTTAGGTGACCTAGTAGGATGCAGTAGAGCAACTGTTCTTTCCTCAGATCCAGACTCTTCTAATCCTTTACATTTAGCTAAAGAGAACCTAAGAATATTCCTTTAAAAAGCATTAGCTTATTTGAAAGTTACTATGTTATAAGGAGATTCAACTCCAATATAGCTAAAAATTCTTAAATATATATCTGCTTAGTTTTTTAAAAATTGAGATATAGTGCTTAATTTTAAAAAGATTTTGAAAGAACTTGTTGATTTGGTTTCTGGGCAGAATAGTTGTATTTGATATAATTGATCTATCTGATTTGGTTTGTTTACGATAATCAGGGAAAAGAACAAGAACAAACCAGAGCACTATTTAGAAACAGCCAGTAATATTTAAACTTAGTCATCTTTCTTTTTGAAATTAAATATTATAATGACATTTGTTTGGGAAGTTATAAATATTTATTCAGTTTTTGCATCAAGTTTTAGCAATTTCATAATGTCTTTTATCATCTAGTACTTATATAGTTTCCATTGATTTAGATCAGGACACATTTATTAAGAGCCTGCTATTGTGTATTTGGTCTCCCAACAAGTACTGGGATTCCAACTATGATCTTTAGTTGGTTCAAGTCCTCAGTTGCCTTTATTTTACAGTCTTACCAAACAAACTTTTCTCCCTAGACAGACATATACATAAATATTTCAGGTATGCAATGTGGCATAGGGCCTTGAGAATGATCTTCTTTTGGGTTAAACCTATAATCATCAGCAAGAGATAATGTTGCAGATATGCTGCCACTAGAGACAGACATGTTAGGAGATTGGCTTCTGCAAAGTCCTTGCCTAGCAGTGAGTACGCCAGCCAGGCCTAGGGACCCTACCAGTGCACAAAATTTCGTGCACCGGGCCTCTAGTTTGTTATAAAAGCCATCTTCTACTCTCCATTCTTGAGGCACACACACGCACACACACTTACTGTACTCACAGGCACATGTGGTGCACAGATAAATCACCTCTTCTTTTTTAGTGTAAAAGGTTCTCCTTTGTCTACATACCAAGACCTATAGGAGAGTTCCGTGTTAGACATAGGATTTGAAGTAGATACACCTTTCTGTACTTTTCTGCTCTAGTAGGTAGAGGTGGCGGATTTCCTCCTAAGGACTCTTGGCTATTGCACTAACTTGTTGATTTGGTTTCTGGGCAGAATAGTTGTGATATTGTTATAAAAATATGTAAAGTGTGTGTGTGTGTGTAGCTTAAAAATGTCTGCAGCCTATAATATTTCGTACAATGAAACTAGTTTTTGTCTCCTAGGGGAAAGGGTGGTGGCCTTTGCTGCTGTAGAAGGAATTTTCTTCTCAGGCTCATTTGCTGCTATATTCTGGTTAAAGAAAAGAGGTCTGATGCCTGGACTCACCTTTTCCAATGAACTCATCAGCAGAGATGAAGTAAGGAATGAAGTATTCTTCTATTAGTATTTGTATTTATACTTGGTGTTCATTTATTTTTCTTTCCCCTGGAAAATGCTTATGGTGACCCAAGGATCCTGGTAATTAAAAGAAAGTCATTTCTTCCTTGGCTTTTAAGACACTGCTTTCCTCCTGCCTCTTAACTTTCTCCTCAGTCTCCTCTGCTCATCCTTAAATATTGTATCCTGGTTCCCTCTTTCACTGTATATAACCTCCTGACTGATCTAATTTATTCAGCTACCACCCAGATGCTCATAACAACCAAAACTTTATCTTAAGTCCATCTATTCTTTTCTGAGCTCCAAACTTGTGTATTCGGGTGCACGTTAGATGGTTTTTCCTGGAAGGCGAAGTCAAACTCATCTTTCTCCCAAAATTTTTTCTTCGTTCTGTTTTCCCTAGCTTATTGAGGGTTGCCATCTTCCATCCACTCATTTAAATTTGAAATCTGGGAGTCATTTTAGATGGTTTCTTTTATTTTGCACACGCACACCCAGATAGTAACTAAACCTTGTCTCCCTCTACCTGCAATACCCTTTCCATCTTTCCTACCAGTTTTTTAATTTGTTGGTTTCCTTCTTAAAGTTGCAACTCAAACTTTCCTGACCTAAATAGGTAAAATTGATCACTCTTTCCTCCATGCATCGCTTTGAAACTGGAACTTGTTCCTATCTTACAGTCCATAACATATATTGTATATCTTTTCTCTCTTCTCTGCTAGTCTCTAAGCTCCTTGAGTTTATCTTTCTGTTCTCAGTATTTAGTCCATTACAGCAATTCAGTTCATGTTTATTGACTACACCAATCCTGGCTGAGCTTACCTCAAAGTGGCCTTAATTTCTCTGAGCCTCAGTATCTTCAAATATGAACCTTAAAAGGGTTTTGTTAAAATACAATTAAACAGTATGTGTGAGTACTTTTTAAGTGCCATAAAATGCTTTGTATAATTACCTTTTGTTGTTTTATGTCTTTAAATTTCTTATATTTTTATTATTAATGTCATATCTAATTATTATAGAGAAGTAAGAAAATAAAATCACTCAATCTCAACACAGATAATCTCTTTTAGTATTTCATTGTATTTCTTTCTGGGTGTTTTTTTTGACATTTAAATCTATGTAGATATATGCAGACATCATATTTTTACAATTTGAGATATTCTTGTATTTTTGTAAGCTATTCTTTTTTTTCACTTAGCAGAATATTGTGAGCATTTTTCTATGACAGTAAGCATTTTTTGTAAACAGTAATTTTGTTAGATATATAATATTCTAATGAATATTACTGTTTGACTATTCTATAGTTAGAAATTTAGGTTGTTTCCAGATATTTTGTTTATTTGCTTTGCTATAATGCAAAATGCATATCTTTGTATGTAAGCTTTGTCCCAAATTCATAATATTTTTCTAAGCTAGATTTACTAATGGTAGAATTACTAGATTTTAAGGTATAAACATTTTAAAGGTCATTCATACTTGCTTGCAGATTTCTTCCCAGAAATTTTATAGCAATATTCAGCCCTACCTAGCAACCTATGAATGTGTCTTTTCTTAATATACTCTTACTAGAATTTAGATTTATGTGATAAATATTTGACAAATTTTTTAAAATATATTTTTATTGGTTGTTTTTTTCTTTTTCTTTTTTTTTTTCTTTTTTTTTTTTGTATAAAGAGAGGAAAGGAGAGGGATAGAGATATAAAAACATTGATCAGCTACCTTCTGCATGCTCCTTACTAGGGATTGAGCCTGCAACCTGGGCATGTGCCCTGACCAGAAATTGAACCAGTAACCTCTTGGTTCATGGATGGATGCTCAACCACTGACCAGGCTATTTGACAAATTTAATAAGGGTAATGGTATCTCATTATTGATCTTATTTGCATTTGTTTGATTATTACTAAACATTGATCAGCTACCTTCTGCATGCTCCTTACTAGGGATTGAGCCTGCAACCTGGGCATGTGCCCTGACCAGAAATTGAACCAGTAACCTCTTGGTTCATGGATGGATGCTCAACCACTGACCAGGCTATTTGACAAATTTAATAAGGGTAATGGTATCTCATTATTGGTCTTATTTGCATTTGTTTGATTACTACTTAGATGACAAATTTAATAAGGGTAATGGTATCTCATTATTGATCTTATTTGCATTTGTTTGATTATTACTTAGATTGAACATTTAAAAATAATATTAGTCATTTATATTTTTTTTCTGTATTTGCTTATTCTTGTCTTTACTTTCGTTGGTATATATTCCTAATGCATAGTGATTGAGCTCTTTCACTAAGTATTTTTAAATGATTTTTAAAAATATTTATTTCATGGTTATAATATAAAATATGAATTTTGTTATATCTATTGCAAATATTTTCCCAGTTTGTCTTGTTTTTTTATTTTGTTTGTTCTTTTAACATACAAAACCCTGAAATTTATTGATGAGCTTTGAGTGATGAGTTAAGTAATCACACACATTTTCTTTTTGGCTTTTTAACATTTAACTTTCTAATGCAATTGGAAAAGGGCTGCGAGATACCATTACCCTACTCTTGCACAAATTTTGTGCATCATGCCTTTAGTCCTATATAATAATATAAGGCCAATATGCAAATCGACCAAACAGCAGAACCAATTGCTATGACATGCACTGACCACCAGGGGGCAGGTACTCAACTCAGGAGCTGCCCCCTAGTGGTCAGTGCACAGCCCTGGCTTCGTCTGGAAGGATGTCTGGTCTAATTAGCATATTACACTTTTATTATTGTACATAGTTTTCAGTTACTTGTTGATTTATTTAGAAAAACCTAAGCAAACTCTCATTTGTAATCCTTTAAAGTGGCTGTGTCTTCCTCTTCTTCACCCTTTGGTGGCTTACAAAATTGTTTCATTTTTCTTGTAGTTTAGAAATGTTAATCGACTCTGCCTTAGTGTCCTTCTCTGTTAATTTTGTTTGGAATGCCATCATCTTTCTGTATCTCTGGCTTCTTTCTTTTTTTTTGTTTTGTTTTGACTTTTTGAAATTTTCTTTTGTTGTCTTCAGCTTTAGAACATCTTTGTTTATTATGGGTTAAATTATTGTAGGTTGAATCTCCTTGCTCTGTTCTTCAACTATTTAACATTCTATACCATTTCTTGTATTTGCATAACCATTCTGTTGTCAAGGTATTTCACAACTTGTTCTTTGGTTGAGTTATTTGCAATGTCATTTCTGCTTTTTCAGCTTCAAATGGTATGCTTAATTCTTCACTTCCCATTTTCATTGCACTAAACTCGTTTTTATCTTGAGCCATTCTTATCTATACAAATAAAAGGGTAATATGCTAATTAGACCGGGTCAACTGGCCATCTTTTGGATGTCCTTCCGGACAAAGCCATGGTTGTGGGGGCCGAGGCAGAGGCAGTTAGAGGTGAGATCAGGCTGGCAGGGGGTTAGGGGCAATCAGGTCGGCAGGGGAGGGCAGTTGGGGGTGAGATCAGAGTGGCAGGGGAGGACAGTTGGGGGTGAGATCAGGGTGGCAGGGGAGGGCAGTTGGGGGCGAGGCAGGCAGGCAGGTGAGTGGTTAGGAGCCAGTGGTCCTGGATTTCGAGAGGGATGTCTTCACAGGGATTGGGCCTAAACTGGCAGTCGGACATCCCCTGAGGGGTCCCAGATTGGAGAGGGTGCAGGCCGGGCTGAGGGACACCCCCCAACCCCCATGCACAAATTTCATGCACCAGGCCTCTAGTTTAATATAAATGTCTTTTCAAAATCTGAGTATTTCATCTGTTCTTTAAATACTTACTTTTTAAAATCATTTCTTAATTTTTTTAGACATTAAAAATGAATGAACTTTCATATAGCTCTTCTTGCTTTGTTTTCCTTTCCAAAATGCTTTTGGTCATAGTTTTTGTTGTTGTTAATAATCCTTTTTTCATGTTGATGAGCTAAGATTTGCTGGCAGTGAAATTTTTTATTACGGGTTATTGTAATTTGCATTTTAATGAGATCTGAAGAAAAGAACCTCCTGGCCCTCTTAATCCTTCTTCTACATTCTTGCATTCCAAGACCCTATTCTATATGATGCCTGACACATCGCTGTGTGAAAAATAGCTGATTAAACTTGTTGGGGTTTTTTTTGACATTTTTTCTTCTGTTTTAGGGGCTTCACTGTGACTTTGCTTGCCTGATGTTTCGATACTTAGTAAATAAGCCTTCAGAAAAAAGGGTCAGGGAGATCATCATTAATGCTGTTGAAATTGAGCAGGTAAGCAGGGAAGCTTATATATGATTAGCACATCACTTTCTGAAGTGTGTATCGTTCTATTATTAGGTTGACTCATATGAAACTGCCATTTTGCAGGTAAAAATAAAAATCAGCAATTTCATATGGTCAATCTGACAGTACCAGTAGATAATGTGTTACAATTATTATGTTAGTTTATAATTTGCTCTATATGTAAGTATTATACATTACGTATATAAAGTCTGTTTAAGAACTGTTTTTTTTCTGTCTCATTGACCTGTCAAATTTTGTGCCATAACAAACTATTTTAATTATTTTAGCTTTATGTTTTTAGATTGTTAGCTACTAGAGGGAAGTGATAGTTTCTTGTTTGTTTTGTATTCTCAAAAAATCTAGCAGGATATCTAGCTAGAAGCATGCACCAGATGCTTATAGAATAAATAAATTAATTAATGAATAGTAAAACCCACTTTATAGCATGTAACGATCTATGACTAGAAAGATCTGGATGCTCCACTTAGGATGTGTTTTTATTATTTGAAAGAACTAGTTTAAAAGTAAAACAAATTTTAAAAAATGTTCTTAAATACTGCATAGTTAAACGGCCAAACTTTTTATATTGGGAGAGGGGAAAAGGCATAAAATACATTTTGGTATCTGTAATCATTTTGAGAACTAAGTCCAGATGGTTAATGTTTTTATTTTTCCTCTATTAACACTTTACCATCGTCTTTTAATATACTTGGAGTACAGTTTATCTCCCAACCCTCTTCCAGTCTCATTTTCTTTGTTAATTGTGTTTTCTCTCTTTTGTAATGTCCTTCCATAATGATGTTCTCCACAATGATTATTTTTGGTGAATCTTTTTCTAGATATTTCAGAACAAAGTATCTCCAAGTACCACAATTTACCCTGGCACCGGGTAGCTCAGTTGGTTTGAGCATCCTCTCAGTACGCCAACGTTTCGGGTTCAATCCCCAGTCAGGGCACATACAAGAATCAACCAATGAATGCATAAATAAGTGGAACAACAAATCGATATTTCTTTCTTTTTCACTCCCTCCCTCCCTCCCTCTCTCCCTTCCTCTCTCTCTAAAATCAATCAATATAAAAATTAAAAGTGCCAGTAATTTGATAGTTAGCTTCCATTTATTTTGGCTATTTGAGAATGTGAAATAATGTGAACAGTAAATATCCCAAACATTTTTTTAAAAACTGGACATTGGCCCTGACTGGTTTGGCTCAGTGGATAGAGCATCGGCCTTCGGACTGAAAGGTCCCAGGTTCGATTCCGGTCAAGGGCATATACCTTGGTTGCGGGCACATACCCAGTGGGAGGTGTGCAGGGGTCAGCTGATCGATGTTTCTCTCATCGATGTTTCTAACTCTCTATCTCTCTCCCTTCCTCTCTGTAAAATATCAATAAAATATATATTTTTTTAAAAAGAAATCAACTTTAAAAAAATGGACATTGTTTGCCATGATGAAAGAATTTAACCTAGTTTACTTTCCTTGGACAAGATTAGTGACTTAGAAGATTAATAAGACTAAAACTCTCCTTTTATTTGGAAGATACTAAATCAATAAAATATATTTTTTTTAAAAAGAAATCAACTTAAAAAAAATGGACATTGTTTGCCATGAATTTAACCTAGTTTACTTTCTTTGGACAAGATTAGATTAGCGACTTAGAAGATTAATAAGACTAAAACTGTCCTTTTATTTGGAAGATACATACTTATTTCTTGTTCTGTCTTTGTACTATATTCTATTTTTCTTTTTCTCTCAGGAGTTCTTAACAGAAGCCTTGCCAGTTGGCCTCATTGGAATGAATTGTGTTTTGATGAAACAGTATATTGAGTTTGTAGCTGACAGATTACTTGTGGAACTTGGATTCTCAAAAGTAAGATGTTTTAAAATGTATTACTACTAAGCTAAAATGTTATTGTCAAATGAGGTGATTAAAATATTGTATTTCAACTGAAATCATTTGTAACATACTAGTTTACTTTTAAAATGTCCATTGCATTGTTTTGCATGAACAAATTGGCTTTGCAAAATCCTTTGAAATGTAAAATGAAATTCATAACAGAAGTAGGAGGCTGATAAATCTTAGAACTAATAAGCTCAATAAATTATTTTCTAATAATTGCATGTATTATTTAAAATCAGATTATTTTTAAATAATTGCATTTCATATGCATATATGTGTTTTACCCTCATATAAATCTCCATGTGTCTTTGTTGTAATTTGGGGGTTAATACTTTTTTTAAAATATATTTTTATTGATTTCAGAGAGTAAGGGTGAGAGAGTGAGAGATAGAAACATCACTGATGAGAGAGAATCATTGATTGGCTGCCTCCTGCACACCCTCCACTGGGATTGAGCCCACAACCTGAGCACATGGTTCATAGGTTGATGCTCAACCACTGAGCCATGCTGACTGGGCTGGGTTAATACTTTTAAATAGGAAATAGTATGACAACATTAACTATCATAACTTACTCTTTGAACTCAGTTGTCTTGAAGTTATTTCTGTCACTTTGTTTATCAGATATAATGTATCTGAGTTTCGTAAAGAGGTGTGATTTTCACATGACTTAGCAGATGGAGGCTGCAGCCAGACTACCTGGGTTTGAATCCTGGTTCCACCGCTTTCTAGCTATGTGACTTAGGCAAGTTGCTTAAGCTTTATCTCAGTTTCCTATCCATAAAATGGAGATGATATTAATTATACCACAAAGGATTATTTAAAGCATTTAAAATAGTGTCATACTTACAGTAAAGGCACACTAAGTGGTCATGTTGTATTCAACGTAAGTGGAACATTCACAGAACTTTACTGTGTTCTGCACCATGGTAATTAAAAATTACTAGTATAAGTTTGATTTCTTAGCATGGAAATGTAAGTTTAAATTGTATTTAATGAGAAGCCTTATGAAATTCATGATTCTGGGTAATTATTACCTTTTTTGGTTATGCATTTATATTCTGGTAACTACAGAAATACTGTAAAGAGTCAGGTGAGGGAAAGGTTTTTGTAAGATAAACTATCCTATATAATAAAAGGCTAATATGCAAATTGACTGAATGGCAGAACAACCGGTTGCTATGACGCACACAGACCACCAGGGGGCAGATGCTCACTGCAGGTCAGTGCGCTGCCTCCGTGTGGCAGTGCTAAGGATGTCCAACTGCTGACTTAGGCCCACTCCCCGGCAGTCGGACATCCCCCGAGGGCTCCCAGACTGTGAGTGGGCGCAGGCCAGGCTGAGGTACCCCCTGAGTGTACGAATTTCATGCTCCGAGCCTCTAGTATTTTATAATTTTAGTTGCAACATTCTCTCTGTTTATCGATAAGTAATGAGAGAAATCAAGATTACAATTGTATTAATATGATCTCTTAAATTTATAAACTGTGTATTAAAAATTTATATTTGTTCCTAAGTTATACCAATATGTTTGTTATAAGAAAATTAATTTGCTTACTTAAACCTTAACGTGAACTCGCTATCCTTTATCCCACCACCGTATCCTCACACCCACACATCCATGCTTTCCTGCTTATTGGAAAACCTTGGACCCCTGGGTCTAGTTTTCCCTTTGGGAACTTGCTAAATGTAGGTATGTAAAACATGCCTCCTACAAAAGAAAATCTAAACATAGTGTAAAACAGCATTTTTCACAGGCTTTCAACATATCTCAATAAACTCCCCAAAGCAGAAATTATACAGACCTCTTAGATTTTAATACATTTAAATGAGAAAGTCATAATAAAAGATTGCCAAAAAGTTCCATCTACTTAGAAATTGAAAAGATATCCTTTAAAATGAGATTAAAAGTGAAAATATAAACTAATAGAAAATGTAAACTAAATGACAATAAGATTACTGTATATCAGAATTTATAGAATCCTCAGGAAAATTTATAGCCTTGAATGTATATATTAAGAAAACAGCAATTAAAATACATAAACTAAACTTTGAACTCAAGGAGCTGTAAGAAGAACTATTCTTAATGAAGACAATTTTTGGTAAAATAAGAGATTACTTAAATTAGCAAATGGTTGTCATTTATACAGAATTCCAATTAGGAGCCATGTTTATGATGTTTTCAACTTCTCTTTTAGTTTAGTATTAGTCGGTAAATATTTGAGTACTTCAGTGTGTCAAAAACAAGTCACTTAATTTCACTTGGTCTTAGTTACTTTGTCTATGCCATGAATGATTTGGAAGGTTGCCAGTTTTAAATCCAGTAAATCTATAACTATTAGTCCAGTACTTTTTCCACTTATTTGGCTGTATATGGTAGCGCAAATTTTCACTCCCTCCTAAAACACTATTTCTGACAGGAAAAATTTCACAGAATTCTACCACTCAACCATACTAGCGTAGCGGTGTGTTGGTTTTTTTTAATTAAGAAAATATATATATATTCCCAAAATATATACACACACTTTGAATAATTATAAAGGCAGTGTTCATTAAAATACATTTCATTTTCAAAATTGAGCTATCAGCTGCTGAAGTATGTATACATTTTTTAGGACAATACACACACGTGTGTGTGTGTGTGTGTGTGTGTGTGTGTGTGTGTGTGTGTATAAAGATATAAATCACAGAGTATACAATTCATCTATTAATAAATGAAGAATTCAGTGTTTTTAGTATATTCACATTTGTGCAGTTATCACAACAATCTGTTTTAGAACATTATTCTTATCACCCCACAAAGAAACTCTGTACCGATTAGCATTCAGTCACATCTCTCTTTCCCCCACCTCCACCTCAGATCTAGGCACCATAATCTAATTTCTGTCTCTTTAGATTTGCCTCTTCTGTATATCCCATTTCTCATATAAGTGGAATCACACAGCATATGGTCTTTTGTGTTTAGCTTCTTTACTTAGTATAATGAAAGTATTATCAGTATTTTATTCCTTTTTATGGCCCAGTAATATTCTTTTGTTTAGCTATACCAAATTTTATCCATTTAACAGGTGATAAACATTTGGGTGATTTCTACGTTTTGGCTATTATGAATGATGCTGCTATGAACACTGATGTATAAATTTTTGTGTGGACATATATTTTCATTTCTCTTGGATATCTAACTAGAAGTGAAATTGCTGGATCATATGCTAACTCTAGTTTTAATATTTAGGGGAACTTTCAGACCGTTTTCTACAGTCCTATACCATTTTACATTAACACCAGCAGAATATGAGAGTTCCAATTTCTCCACATCCTCACCAATGCTTGTTGTCTGCCCTAATGTGTGTGAAATGGTATCTTAATGCAGTCTTGATTTGCTTTTACCTAATGGATAATGATTTTGAGCATCTTTTCATGTGCTTATTGGCCTTTTGTAAATTTTCTTTAGAGAAATGTTTTCTTGTCTACTAAGATTCTTTGCCCATTTTTAATTGGGTTATTTGAATGTATTCTTATCTGTGGTGTTCATAATTTCTGCTGGAATACTCCTAAATTAAAAAGTCCTCTTTTATTGCCCCTCATGACTCATTAAAATGTTTCACAGTTTCCGTTAGCTGTATCTTCACGTCTGCTTCTTGAATTGAGAAGCAATAAAAAAGCTTCTTCTCAACACATGTCCCACTTTTTGGGAAAGGTCACTGTGGATAGGATTTATTCTGTCTTACCTCATCATGGTTCCTTACCTGATGTGATTATTCTCTTATGGAACTAAGAAATATTTAGGTCTACACTACACTGTTGGGAATTTAATCTTTTCTGCTATCATGTTTAGGTGACTACCTAATGGTAATACCTGTGAAAAATGTCTATAATATCTATGGTGTCTTAAATTTCTCAAGCTGAAAACATTTTAGTTGGTTGGTGTTAAATCTTTCATTTCCTGAGATAACCTCCTCTTCCCTTTCTACTTCTTAGAATACCAGAGATGCTCGCATAGTATCTTGAAGAGGTTAGTAGGTGATTTTAGTCATCTGAACATTTATCAGCCTTGAGCCTCTCCAGATCCTTAGGGAATAGGTGGTCCTGTGGGTGACTAGATAGGTGTTGGAGACACCTGAGCTCTGTTATCTGTTGCTCTTCTTGTGGGATATAATTTGGCTTCTTCAGAATATCTAATAACATTTCTTTTTCTTCTTTTTTTCAGATTTTTCAGGCAGAAAATCCCTTTGATTTTATGGAAAACATTTCTTTAGAAGGGAAAACAAATTTCTTTGAGAAACGAGTTTCAGAGTATCAGCGTTTTGCAGTGATGGCGGAAAACACAGATAATGTCTTCACCTTGGATGCAGATTTCTGAAACCCTTCCCTTATTTAAACTTATTGGTAAATAGCAGTCTATTTTTCTCTGCTTTAAAAAATATAAAAACAAAAAAAATTTTTTTAAGTATCTCCTTTAAGGAATTCCTAGGAGTTTGCTCAAAAGGAAATCCAAAACCAAATATCAATCCATTTGGATCTGTATGAATACACTCCAACTTTCCAGTTTAACAACCAGAATGTGACCTAAATGCTTTTGTTTTGTTACCAAAATATAAGATGGCATTATGTAGTGATTAATAGCTTGAGGTGAGGTCTCAGATATGAATTTGAGATTCTGTCCTTACTACTTTGTGTGACACTTGGCAAGTCAGTTAATTGCTCTCAACCTCAGTGTACTTACCTTTAAAATGAGTGTAACAGCCCTGGCCAGTGTGTCTCAGTTGGTTGGAGCATCATCTCATTAATCAAAAGTTGGTGGGTTTGATTCCTGGTCAGGGCATATGCAGGAAGCAACTGATTGATGTTTCTCTCTCCCTCTCTCTAAAATAAATTAAAAATAAAAATAAATAAAATGAGTGTAATAGTAGGTCCTAAATTCAGAGAGGGCATGTGAGGATTTAGTCACAAAATAGGTGCTTAGTACTACCATGCATGTGAGGATTTAGTCACAAAATAGGTGCTTAGTACCACCACCACCACCACCACCACTACTGCTATTACTACTAGTACGTATTATTATTAATAGTGTTAATTGCAGTGATATTGTGATAAAATGCTCCCATCTCAAAGTAATTGTAATTCTAGATCCTAAGATCTAGTGTTAGATCTTAGTATTTTTAATGTTTGAGGAAGAATATAAAGATTTCCTAAAAATCATAATTCTCATTAATTTGAGAGCAACTTCTTTGAATTCCTCGGTATGTAGTAAAGGAAATTTGGTTCTTAGTTGCTTTGGGAAGGATACTTATGGAGTGGAATCCAGGAGGTTATCTTAATAGTTGGCCTTATGAGCAAAATGATTCTGCTCCTTTAGGAATTAAAAAGGGTAACTATTGCCAGATGTAACCCTGGAATGTTTAAAACCAGACGAATTAGCTAGACGAGCATTGCCCAAAGAGTGTTTGAAGAGTTATTAGCTCTCTAATAACTCTTGTGGGGTTCTGTGGTCAGATGAGTTTGGGAAATGCTGTACAGTCTATTGCTCTTTACAGTGTACACTCAGTACATCAAAGACTGAGAAATTCTGTAGTAAGTAAACTTATTTCCCTCTTCATATTCCAAACTTACTTAACACAGATATGTTTCTCATTTGTTAGCATCTAACCTGACTGGCGTTCCTCAGAACATACTTTGGAAAAAGCTGGCCTGGAATCATTTTATATGTAGAAGAAGGGCTTGTGGCTAAGCCAGGGAGAACCTGGTGGGGTTATGAACCATTTCAGATTTATGCCAAGCTGAGTCATGTACTGTGAGGGGGCTCATCTGTGTTTAATACTCTTAAAACTCTTTTTTTGCTGTTGTGAGATGTAGTTCTTTTAATGGAACTGTGCATGCTGCAGGATAGCAGATGGTGCAGGAGTTGGAGGAAAGGCCAGAAGCCAAGCTCTCTGAGCAGTCTGCCCCTCTTTACAGTAAGGAAGTGTCAGAGGTCGCCTGAGCCCCAGCAGGCAGTGGGGTGCCCCACTCACAGCATAATATCATGTCATAAAATTCTAGAAGCTCAGATTTAGAGATTTCCTCTTTGTATAAATTTTTGCCCCATGCATGCCACAACTACCTAATTGATTAAAACAGGATGTTCTCAAGTGGATGCAAAAGGAAGTGACTATAACCTTATTTGTTAGCATAATATCAGAAACTTGAGATATCTGGCCTATGATAATACCATTTGTTTGTTCAGTGCTTCATAGTTTGCCAGGTGTTTTTACATCACCTCATTTGGTCTCGCAACAGTGTTCTGAGCTTGACAGAGCAGCTTGTATTGAAATTTTACCAATGGAAAGAGTGAGGCTCCGAGAAGTTAAATGACTTGGCCAAGGTCTGTTCATAGTCACTATCCCTACAATGTAATTTTTAAAGGTCATTATGTTTCTTGTATTTAGTCATTTGTCAACCTTCTTGATTTGATTTTGCTTATTTCCCCATTAAAGTATTATATACTTTAATTAAGGTATCATATACATTAATTAAAGTATCGAAGTATCATAAACATCTTAACTATATTCAGGTAATATGTTCAAATATATTTACTGCCATACAAAAGCTTAACATTTAAAATTGATAATATCTGTAATGGATGGAATGAAAGAAAAATAGTCCATATTTACAGTCCATATATCCTTTGTTTTGAACCCAAATTTTTCTCAGAGGTAATGACAGGTGCCTTAATATGAAGCTTATTTATAGTAGCAATAAACCTAACTGTATTGAGATGAAAAAATTTTAATACTGAAATACTGGATTTTTAATACACTGGTGTATTACATTTGGTATTCTATATCCTTTCCCAGGCCTCCAGGTTGCATATTTATTTATTATGTTTAGTATTTTGGTTCTTAGTTTTGAAGGAATCAAGAAATTGTGGAATTTCTTTTTAGTATTATCTCGCAAGTAAAGAAAGAAAGTCAGAGTATGTTTACAATTTTTTAACAGCACATGTATTTAAATCATTGCTATAGTAATTAAAGTTAATTTTTTTTAGGAATATAAAAACTGGTAGTCCTATGATACATTGCATTTATTTAAAATGTTTCATTTTAGTATGTAGAATCATGTCTTAGAAGGATTTGGAGAGACAGTTGATCCAGTGCTTCCAGACAGGGCTGTTTTACTGTCCAATTATATACAATAATGAACCATTATTATTACAATACAAGCTTACCCCAGTCATGTCTTTATATATGAAATTTTTACAGTTGTCTCATTTTGGAAACTCAAGTTCTCTGCTTCTTTTGCCATTTTGTTTTTCATTTGTTCATTAAAAAAGTGATTATTTTCGATGAAAAAAAAAAGAAAAAAAAAGTGATTATTGAAAAAGACAGCAGCTTGCATATTTAAAAAATAAATTATTTAATTATCAGGATCTTGCATTTCACATTTAAATATGCTAACATCACTGTCCTAGAATTCCCAAATTGCATTTGTGCAGATTAAGCTGAGGGCCAAGTGTCACTAACTGGTTTTCAGTGATAAAGAAAGGCTGACGGGCTACATGAGAGCCAGTGGAGTCCTCTAATCAGTTCTTGTGTCTTGAACTAAGTTGAGTGAATTGGTAGCCGAATCAGGAACTCTTCCCACGCAGAATCTGCATATGTGGTACAGAAGTGAGACCTGTATGTCTTTGTTTGAAGTGGTCTGCTCCTCTTTAGACAGCTGCAGGTGTGGAGGGGAATCTGACATTCCTGAGGCTGCACAAAGGAAGAATTTAGGCCTTCGAATTTTAGGTTATTTCTATTAAAGAAAATACAGGTAAAAATGAAAGGCTGGAGAACGATTTTTTTATACAGATAAAAATATAACAACTCAGTCTTTTTCTAAATTCTCAAGATTCTTAACTCATGCATTTGTCTTTGTTTTATGACCATGTTTTGATTTTTCCAAATGTCTGATCATTTAACAAAGTTATTTGGTATCTACTCTGTACGGAGAGCTTTATCAGGTGTGGTGTACCTAATATTTTTTGCTCAAATACATTATGGTCAATCAGGACAACCCTGCATACATAGAATCCCCCCCCCCCCCCACAAAAAAGAAATGAGTTATTTTATTTTGTTTTAGTTTAGTTGAAATAAACTGTATCATAGCTACATTACTTGTGTATGTACTCTTTGAGTAAAAGTGTTTCTTTATAAGTGCAGGGGCTATCCTAATCAAGAAATGTATATATTTCCCCAACCCATTATGAACGCAATAATCCAGTTTTTCCATATTTGCATCCCAGCAGCCAAATACTTCTAGAGAAAAGGTCATACACGATAACTTGGATCTACTATAAATTCATGATTACCCACTGTCTTAGTCCAGTCAGGCTGCTATAAAAAATAATAGGTGGCTTAAACAAGACACTTATTTCTCTCAGTTCCATAGGCTGGAAGTCCAAGGTCAAGGTGCTGACAGATTCACTGTCTGGTGAGCCTCACTTCCTGGTTCACAGGCAGCTGTCTCCTCGCTGTGTCCTCCGTGGAAGCAGAGGCCAGAGGGCTCCCTGAGGTCTTCTGTTAGAGAGGCCCTAGCTCCATTCCTCTCTCAAAGGCCCCACCTCTAAACCCATCACATCGGGAATTTGGTTCTAACATGAAGTTGGGTGGGACACAAACATTCAGTTCATAGCGCCTACCTGAGCCCCTTGTTGCAGTCCTACTACAATTTCCTGGTAAACTCCATCTCCATTCTCCACAGTTGCCTCTCACCCTCTCTCCACTCGGCTGCTACCCTCACTCCAGAAACTGTCATTTACAGAGCACATGGGACCCACTTGCTTTATATATGTCATCCCGTTTCATGCTCTTAAAGATCCGGTCGGGAAGTATTTTCCCCTTCCTTTCACAGTTATTTGTTGAGTGTATCCTCAGTGCCAGGCGCCGTGCTGGGTGCTGGAGATCAAAGCATGAGAAGACATCCTGTCTGCTTCATGGAGCATCATGGGGTAGACACATACCAAACAAGTGAAGTAAAGAAAAGGTTATTTCCTCCATTTGGGAGACGACTTCAGAGAGCTCTACTAGTCTACTCCTTGCTTCAAGCGGTTCAGATAGAGCCGGAATTGTGGCCCAGTTCTTGATAGCAAAGCTCCTGCTCTCACCAGAACCCCCAGGTAAATACATTGCAGTGTCTCTGATGGGCACAGAGTCCCGGGCCCCACCCCTTCCAAGAGCTGCATGGCCCGGGATGGCAGCAGTGAGACAGGGCCAGAGAGCCGGCAGCTGCAGGTGGGCTCAGGCTCCAGGGGAGAAGGCCGTGGGGGTGAAGGTTAGACTCGGCCCCATCCTGCTAGCAGTTGCAGGGGGCCTTGTTGAGATCACTGGGGGATTTGGTGGGCAGGGCTGACAAGAGAATTTAGCAAAGCTAATTCCATCTAATTTTCCAAAAGGGGAAACAGCGTCAGCATTTTGCCAGCTGCCACCAATGGAGAGCTCTGAGTTGCCCGCCCCCATGGGTCCCTTCTGGAGCTGGGGAAGCCCAAGGAGGCCATTGTGGCCACTGCCTTCCCTGGGGCTGGAGTGGGGGCGGGGGGACACTGTGCCAAGTACCCTTCTGTGCTCTGCCGGCCAGAAGCATGGTCTGGCTGCACCATGTGGGCCCCTGTTCCCCACCGCCAGCCTCTGGCTTCTTGTGGGTGGTACCTGCTGGGGCGATGGTGGTGGAAGTGTTCTACTGGAGCTCATTCCCTGACATCCGCATGGTGGAGCCATTGAGCTGCTGGTCTCAGCTCAGGCTGCTCCTTCCTGCGGGAACGGAGGAGGTAGATTGTAAAAGAAGGAAGATTGTGTTTCTAGATGAGCTTGGGCCGCCTGGCAGGAGCGGGGCCTCCGGACACATAGAAGAAATTCATGCAAAGCACCGGCCCTTTAGAAAGGGCAAGCGCCCGGCCGTGGGGAGTCGCAGCCTAGGCTGGCTGGGTAGAGATGAAAATCCAGGAGATAGTGCCACAGGGAAGCCCTGCATTTTGGTCCCAACTGAAGGAGAAGCCTCTTCCCGTAAATGGAGGCTGAGCAGTTTATGAAACAACTAACAACACCACATCCCTGGAAGGTTCCGGAGGCCTGGGCTAGTCGCAGAGGCACAGTGATTGGTCTTTGCCTAGGGGGAGCGGGTGGTACAGAGGGCAGGGTCCGATGGCAGAAAGACGGCACTTACCCTCTGGCCCATTCTGAGAGGATCTGAGGATGGAGGGGAACATACTAGCTCTTGTCTGTTGTTCCAGGAGGGGTCACACCAGTTCCCTGGGCCCTGGATATCTGAAGCTCCCGCCCACCTCAGTCTAGGAAGGTGATAGCTGTACTAGGGGCCGGATGGGTGTGTTTTCACAATTCAGATCTAGGAGCTAGGGGGTCATGTAATGATGCTCCATCCTGTGACTCTATCCTGACCCAGGTGCCTCACTTGCAACCCATAGAAACTCTCTCAAAATGTGGGAACCGGGTATTGTGTGTGTATGTGGGGGGGGGGGGGGGGGGGCACAGGCTTTAGAGCCAAACTACTTGGCTTCAAATCTTGGTTCTAAACTTACTGGCTGGGTGATTTTGGGAAGAGCAACAGTATGAATTTCCAGTGTTGTCCTATGGAGAGTGCTTAAAATAGCACCATCATACAGTAAGCACTCAATAATTGAAGCTCTTATCTCAAAGCTTCTTTCTAGCACTAAAACCCCAACTCTATGCCTGGAACATGCGCATTAGCTTGGAGAGACCTGGCTGTCAACAGCTCCTTTGAGGTTGATCTGTGGGGTTCTTGCTGTGTCCCCGAAGACCATTTCATTGCATGGGTTTCATTTCCATCTTACGGCCGGTTGTTCAAATTTTTTTGGCATACATTTCCCAGCATTTTAGTAGACTGGGGAATATACCCTTGTGTTTCCTTAATAAGATAGCTTTACTCTGCCTACAGCTTTAGGAGCAGGTGAAATTCAGTTCACCTTAATATCTGTGCCGGTGTAACATCCTTTGATGCTGTTATCATGAGCATTCCCTTTTAGAGCTAATGAACAAATCACAAGTCCTAATACTGAATAATTGCCATTTTGTTCTACAATTAGCAGGGACAAATAGCTTTAACGCTACCGAGAATCCCTGCTCTAAGGAGAACCCCAGTCCCCCGAGATCTCATCTGCTGTGCCCTCGCCTGGATGGAGAGCTTGCAGGTGCAGACTTGCGGCTCCTCTGCCTCTGAGGCCCCTCCTCGCACCAGGTGGGATGCAGACATGTTATCCTTCGCAGCGGGGATCTCGGTTGGAGATCCACTGGATTCAGGCATGGCTGGGTATAGTGGGAAAACCTGTGTGTACCTCACGTGAAGTGTCTTTGCATGGGTCTCCTGGCAAAGAATCGACCTGGGGCAAGAAGACAGGTCTGATGGGTTTGACCCGCATGATGGAATGGGGCAGAGATTCTGAATGTGGCAGGGAGGCCATTACACAAACCCTCCCAGGTGGAACGAGGCCTTGTGGGAATGGGGGTACAGAACGTTGCCCTTGCTGGGAGCCAGACCACACCGAAGGCAACACAAAGGGAAGGTGCCCGCCCTCCTCTCCAGGCCAACTTGGAGCCTGGCAGAGCAGCATGAAGTGGGCGTGCTTGATTGTTCCAACTCGTGCCATTATCAACACCGGTGCCGCACATCCGTGCATACACCTGTACACGCCTACATATTCAGCTTTACACACATCCATGGTTTTCCCCTGAGACACATGGGGTCAGAAGCAGCAGAATTCTGAAGTTGTCCCACTATTTTTTTTTAACTCTATATGGAAAAAAAAAATGCATTTATAGCCAGGCCTGTTTTTGTTTGTTTGTTTGTTTTTTCTTTTATATACAAAACTTTCATTGTACTAAAACTGTAGGTACATTCTAAAACCTTTCCTCTGGCCCCAGGGGGAGGCCTTTTGGTTTTCATTTTTATTTTTGGCTGCACTTCTGTTTATCTCTGTGGCAGATACTCTCGGCTGTCTACTCCAGAGCCACGGCCAGCCCTTGCCCACTTCCAGTGAGAGATGGTGGGGAAGCCGCCTCCTTGCTCTCTCAGACTCCCCCGTAGCTGGAAGTGGCTAAGTGGCCCGGTCTGGCTAATGAGACATAAAGGAACGCCTGTGGGAGCCTCACGGAGAAACACGTTTTCCTCTCTGCTAAGGGTGAGGCTTGTGAAGAGAAGCACTCTGCCAGGAACACCCTCAGCGCCCTGCCTTCAGACAACCGCGTGCGGATGCAACCCGGGACAGCAGCAGCCAGTTTCTGCTCATGAGACAGCAGGCACGAGGAAGAGCAAAAGAGCAAGACACT